GTTGTGTGTGTGTTTGTGCGCGTGTGTTTGCTGCAGTGCTGTGTGTGATGTGTGTATGTGTGTGTGTGTGGTGTATGTGTTGTGGTTTTGTGTGTGCGTGTGTTCCCGTGTGACGCTGCGCCTGTGTGTGTGTATGTGTGCGTGTGCACGCACGCACAACGAGTTGTGCACGCACAAGTATGTATGTGCACGCGCAACGAGTATGTGCACGCACAACGAGTTCATATGCAGCCATGGCGATAAGGACAACGCGCTTAAAAACCTGGTGATCAAATACCTCCGTAACAGCTAAAGATGATGGACGTCACGCGGCCAGCAGGGCAGCCAAACATGGCATATATATATGCGTTAAGATATCGACGCGGGGCGGAAATCGTGTGCGGTCCTTCCTGCCTATTGGCACGTGATTTTATTTTATATGCCATATCGTTGAGTAATAATCGAAGGCATCGTGTACTCGCTGCGTTTTAGACGTCCTAGACCTATGTACCACATATGTACCGCACATGTACGGCATATGTAACACATATGTATGGCATATGTACCGCATATGTACGGCATATGTAACACATATGTATGGCATATGTACTGCATATGTACGGCATATGTAACACATATGTATGGCATATGTACCGCATATGTACAGCATATGTACGGAATATGTACCACATATGTATGGCATATGTACCGCATATGTACGGCATATGTAACACATATGTATGGCATATGTACAGCATATGTACGACATATGTACCACATATGTACCGCATATGTACCACATATGTACCGCATATGTACCACATATGTCCGCAATATGCTACAGCATAATGCTACGGCATATGTACCACATATGTACCGCATATGCTACCACATATGTATCCGCATATGTACACGCATATGTACGGACCTATGATACTACATATGTAACCGCAATATGTACCACATATGTACCGCCATATGTACCAATATGGTATCAATATGTCAGGCATATGTACGGCATATGTAACACATATGTATGCAAATATGCACCGCCATATGATACGAGATATGTACGGCATATGTACCACATATGTATGGCATATGTACAGCATATGTACCACACATGTACCGCATATGTACCACATATGTAACACATATGTATGGCATATGTACCGCATATGTACAGAATATGTACGGCATATGTACCACATATGTACGGCATATGTACCGCATATGTACCACACATGTACCGCATATGTACCACATATGTACCGCATATGTACCACATATGTACCGCATATGTACAGCATATGTACGGCATATGTACCACATATGTACCGCATATGTACCACATATGTATCACATATGTACCACATATGTACCACATATGTACCGCGTATGTACCACATATGTATCACATATGTACCACATATGTACCGCATATGTACCGCGTATGTACTGCGTATGTACTGCATATGTACTGCATATGTACTGCGTATGTACTGCGTATGTACTGCATAATTATGTAAAATGGTCTTCAATGCACTACCGCTATATGTTCCGAACGTCACCCAGCGTTGCTCTACAACTACCGTTGTTCAGCCGTAGCTGTTGTCGCTGATGTTCACGCGGTGTTGTTCACGACGTTTGTTCAGCCGTAGCTGTTCTCGCTGATGTTCACGCAGGTGTTGTTCACGACGCTTCTGTTTCAGCCATAGCTGTTCTCGCTGATGTTCACGCGGTGGTTGTTCACGACGTTGTTTCAGCCGTAGCTGTTCTCGTTGATGTTCAACGCGGTGTTCGTTCACGACTTGCTTCAGCCGTAGCTGTCGTTCTCGCCTGATGTTCAGCCAGGTGTTGTTCAACGACGTTTGTTCAGCCCGTGAGCTGTTCTCGCTGATGTTCACGCGGTGTTGTTCACGACGTTTGTTCAGCCGTAAGCTGTTCTCGCTGTTGTTCACGCAGTGCTTGTTCACGACGTTGTTCAGCCGTAGCTGTTGTCGCTGATGTTCACGCGGTGTTGTTCACGACGTTTGTTCAGCCGTAGCTGTTCTCGCTGATGTTCACGCGGTGTTGTTCACGACGTTTGTTCAGCCGTAGCTGTTCTCGCCGATGTTCACGCGGTGTTGTTCACGACGTTTGTTCAGCCGTAGCTGTTCTCGCTGATGTTCACGCGGTGTTGTTCACGACGTTTGTTCAGCCGTAGCTGTTCTTGCCGATGTTCACGCGGTGTTGTTCACGACGTTTGTTCCAGCATTCTCGGCATGAACCTGTTCGGCTGTAAGTGAAATGAACATGCATACAGATGTGTGCTGAGATGTGTGCACAGCACACGACCCCTGCGTATATATTTTATTGAAACGCTTCAAGTGCCTGTGCACCATGCACCATGCACTAACCTAACTAAATGTTAGTGTGATAAAAAATCATATGCGTTGGGTCGCCCTGTGATATACGTGGCGGCTCTGCAGACCGGTTACCGAAGGATTTTGCTCCACATTTGATACATATTTGTGCTGCATGATGTCAGAGAAAATTCAGGATGAAGAGTTGCCGCTACCTAGTCATCTCAGTGTTTATAAAAACACTTTCTTGTCTAAGTTTAAGGTAACTTACATGCCCGAGTACGAGAAGCTGAAATGCCGTGACGACGATGTCTATGTCATGTCCTATCCGAAATGTGGTAAGTTGTTGACAATTTGAGTAAGCTAGTGACTCATTCCTGAAAATTGATCATACTATATATACTACCTTACTAACATACACACACACGCACGCACACACACGCTGGCATTCAAGCACATACACGGACACACACCCGCACGCACACACGCACACACGCACACACGCACACACGCACAGATGCACACACACACACACACACACACACGCACACACATACAAAAAGATCTATCGAAACAAACTTGTTTTAGCAGAAGCAGAGAACGAGTAGCAGTCTGTATTTTCAAATAATAGTAGAGCAAATTAATGTTGAAGCGAATTGTTGTATTGCACGGTCTTATTCCCCCACTGCGTGCGTAACCCAGCCGCACAACCTAAACGTCCAGTTTGGCTTACAGACACACACCGTATATCCTCGCTCACACGTTCAGCAGTAGACTAGTGATGATGATATGTCTACAGGTACAACATGGATGCAGGCAATCGTCTGGCTCGTCATGAATGACGCAGACGTCGCATTCCAAGGTGGCAGTAAGGCACTCGATGAATTATTCCCACTGCTGGAGTGGCCACTCTATAGTAAAAAGTTGGCAGAGATCGCAAAGCTGAAGAAACTTCCAGAATGTCCCGACTGGGAGGCGAGACCATCGCCAAGGCTCTTCAAAACACATCTGAATTTTCAACTTCTTCCAACCGAAATCGTAGAAAGGACCAAAACTCCAAAAGTATATTATAATTAAAATTTCATTGAAGAGTGATATCGATTGGACCGGCTGACCGATCGTTTTCAATGAAAACGACATGAATGTTCCTATCAGTTACGTATCAATTACGTCACCAATCAAGCGAGCAGTCGAACGTTAAACATGTATAGCATTTCATATATTGACAAGCTATATTAATATTCTTTCATTGCTAAAGTTATGCCACTTAGTGCTTCGACACTGATGTAGATGAATAGGATGATGGGAATAGTGAATACTCCGAACCAAAGAATTGCTTACTTTCATCACGAGTACGAAGCGTTGTTGCACTAACATTATAAGTCTGACAATGTCAACGG